TTACACAGTGTACTATAAGGATCTAATGTGTCACATACCACATTAGTTCATAGGATAAATGTTAAATCCTTAACTAGTATCCTATCAATTCAGTAAAATCAAACATCAAATAATTACTTGTCCTTTGACTCTCATTACCGTATATAACTTATAAAATTTTATGTATAAATAGGAATCCCCTTATGTGACCATGATCTGAATGATATAATTATGTCTTTGAACATAGCAATCCTGCTGGTGGAATCTTGTTACAATCTTCAAGTACATTTGTGCTCCTGAACATACATAAAAAATTTACAAAAAAAAAAAATAATAATAAAGAAGAAAGATAAGACTTTTCAAATGCTTATAAAATAGTTAAAATTTAAAAGAAGGGAAAGAAATAAACAAGAGAACATATAAACTGACATAAAACTTTGATTTTCTTAAAAATCAAGTCAGTCAATATTATATAATAAATTTTATTATTCATTCATAAAGCGCACACCTCATAAATCTCAAATTTAATGCAAGTCATGATGCATGAGACTTGTGCATATACTAACTTTTTGTTTGGCTTAAAATAATGTATCATACTCATGTGACTCTTGGAACCATTCCTATTCTCAAATAGTTGTTGAGAGTTTCACTAGTAAGCCAAATATATATAATGGTGGGGAATATAACCTCCAACCATTACAACTAACTCCACCAACATGATATGTCTCACGAGTAAGTACGAATAAAAGATACTCACAATTAGAGTCCTTTGTCAAGATCACTTATAGAACTATTCGAGAGGCTCAAACTCTAATATTCTCCCATGTCATTGTGGCATACTTCCATACTATTTATCTTGCATTACATCTTGATACATTGACTTTACAATCTAAATAGTCCAATGCGTATATGAATTACTTAGTTTATTTCACACAAATCTAGAAGATTTAAAACAAACATAACTAGAATTGGTGAAAAAATATCGTGTAACTTTTATAAATAATTTTTCTAGATATACGAAAGTACATTTAATTAAAAGTAAAGATGAAGCCTTTGAGATGTTCTTAATATATAAAGTTGAAGTAGAGAATTAATTAAATTAAAAGATTAAAAGAGTTAACTCAAATAATGATTTTGTAAAAAAAAAAAAAAGGGTATACATGAAATAACTCCTTGTTACTCATCGGAATATAATTGAATAATAGAAATGAAAAATGTGAACTAAGAAGAAATGATGAATGTCATGCTAATTAGTTCTTTTACTCCTGAAAATCTTTGAGGTGAAGCTTCATTATCTGAATGTCATATATAGAATAATATTCCTTACAAGAATTTAGACAAAACACCTTATAAGTTATGGGAAGGTTATAAGCGTAACTTAAGTTATTTAAAAGTATAAAGTATTTAGCTAAAGTTATGTTACTTGATCTTAGAAAAAGAAAAATATGTTTTAAAACTTCTTATTGCATGTTTATTGGATATGTTGAGAATAGTATTGCATATAGATTTTTCGTTGTAAAAATGATGTACTTTATTGTAATTCTTGTATTGAGACACAATCTAATAGAGGTTATACATTTACACATGGTGGTAATGTTATTACATGAAGATAAACTAAACAAACTAGTATTGCAAAAAATAATTCTTACTATGTAAGAATAAACATATGTTCCAGACATTATAACCTTATAAAGCAACTGCTAAAAGATAAAACCAAATCTATTGATTATGTGAGGTCAAAAGTGAATTTGAATGATCTTTTGGTCAAATTAGTGGAAAGAAAATTATTTATGAAACATCGAAGGGAGTTAGTCTTCAATTAACAACAAATTAATAATGATAGAAACTCAACCTTTGTGATTGAAGATCCTTTAAAGAAAGTTCATATGGGTAATAAAAAGTCATTGTTAATTCTACTAACGTTAATAACTTTTTCATTCCTATAGTGTGAGAAGTGTTAGATTGTATGGAAAAAGAGGTTAAGCTTTACTTTCAATAAATTTCATATCTTTTATGGGTGATATATAAATGTAGTATACATATAATGAAATCGCTTATATAAGTGCCAAGAGGGGTTGCTTGTGTGAAATTAAGAAAAAATTTCTAGAATATTGGCACAAGATGACAAAAAAAAGACGTGGAGTGTAATGTAATAAATAAGCTTCTACGATTTGATAAAGTGTATTAGTTTATAGAAGTCTTAATTCACTAATACATTATATGTTATGCTTTATTTGTCTTGACTTGATTCATAGTCTAAAAGACATTATGTCCGATAAATTTACACACTTTATGTAATCCATACAAATTTTCTTTTCTTTTTCTTCTTCTTATTAATAGTTTTAATTTTAAACTATTAATCAAAATCCTATTGAAATATGTGAGAATTATTATAAATTGTGTATATTTTTAAGATAATATGCTCTAAAGTTGTAAACAAGCTTGGAAAAGAGACTACTACACGACGTCAATTTGGATCAAAATGTCGGATTCTAGTATAAATCACTGAATTCAAATTTTGTTTTAAATAGGAATTCAAATTCAAATTCAAATTATTTAAAATTTGAAATGTTGTTTTTATTATTACTTTAATTGTCAAAATTATTTACTTTAATGATTGAATTTATTCAATTTTATATTTTAATAATTATAGTGATTATTTTGAACAATTATTTATTTTGATTTTATTATTAATTTAATTATCATATTTATTCTGATTAAATTATTATTTTAGCTGGCAGAATTATTTGCTTTAATTATGATAATTATGGTAATGATTTTTAACCATTATTTCTATGTTTGTTATCCTTTATATATTTTTTTGAAAAAATATTACTTTTCAAATATGAATTTTAGTCACTCAGCTTCTCATGTCTCCTCATCTTCGTCTTGCTAGTTCTGTTCCTAATTTTATCAAGAAGAGACTATTGTATCTCGTGGGATTATGTTTAAGAAAATAAATCTTCAAATAATGTCATCATATGTCTCAACTTACGATTTAACACTATCGTATAGATCATGAAGTATATGTCTTACACAATAGGAGTAAATTTTCTCTCGTCATTATTTCTCAAATTCATGCAAATATTTGTAAAGATCTCTAAATTTACATTAAAATTATTTAAAAAATTACAAAAAATTGTATGACATACAATTGTATTTTGTTTTGTTTATTCTATTTTTTTTATATTTTAACCTTAATATTTAATTAAAATAAGAATTTAATTTAAATACAATAAAAGTATAATTTTTTTTAAAAAAATATAAGGATTGAAAATAAACACCTAGTAATAATAAGATTTTATTAAAAAGAGAAATATTTATTATATTTTTATAACTTTGATATGATAAATATATAATTTTTTTATAAAATTTTTCTCTTTATGAATGCTTAAACTCAATCTTTAACAAAACTTAATTTTTTTATCTTAAAATTACAGAAAAATTAAACTCTTAAAACAAAATAAAAAATAATATGCATACTTTTGAGAAATTGAATTTAAAATTGAAAATGGTGTTTCCATTATATTTTGAGAAATATAAATCAATCTTTAGACATTTGTAACGGTATAGTTTAGTGAAATTTATATGGACTTTTATGTACTTGAAGCAGAAGTAACATCTAGAAGTAATGTTTGGAAACAAAATTTTATTCTTGCATTATCATTAACACATTCAAATTCCAGAATTCCTTACAAGTTTTAAAGGAAGCAATTTTTTATTTTCTTTTGCAATGACCATAAATAGTAATCAAGGATAATCTTTAAAACATGTTAGAATTTATATTCTAAAATTAATTTTCTTATATGACCAACTTTAAGTTGCAATATCAAGAGTTACAAATCGAAATTGACTAAAGATACTTCTAATATAATTTATAAAGAGGTTTTTATAATTTATATTATAATTTATAAAGAGGTTTTTATAATTTATATTAAGAGAGTAGTTATTCTTATCTATTGCTCAAAACTTTAATTAAAGATCTTATAAATAAACGTCAAATATATAATTGATATTTAAAATGTGACTTTCTATTAGATTCATAAAATCCTTAAAAAATTATATCTGTTTTTTTAATAACAATTATATATAAGTCTTATTTACTAAATATAATTTTATCATGTTTATCTTAAATTAATGAACTATGTAAAACTATTATTATTATTATTATTTATTTATTGTTATATTATATATATATATATATATATATATATTCCGTGTATCACATGGTCAATAAATTAATTCTATTATATTTTTATAGCTTTAATATAATAAATATATATATTTTTTATAAAAATTGTCAATTTATGAATGTCGCGGTCTTTAACAAAACTCAAATTTATATTCCTAAACATAAAAATTAAACTCTTAAAATAAATAAAAATAATATACATGCATATTAATAAAATTACCAAAAATTATATAATACATATAACAATAATATTATAAATTTATATAGTATGTGAGATTAAAATTTTAAAAAAAATTTAAGTTTATTTTTTAATTTATAAAAAATATTAGCAACACACTTTTTAATATTAATTAAAATTTTTTGAGAATTAAAAAAAATTAAGAGAAAAAAATTAATTTAAAAATAAAAAAAAATGTTACATAAAATATGTTGCTAATATACTCTTGATTTTATAAAAGAACTTTCATCTTATTCTTTAATTTAAATAATAACTTGAAAATTATTTTGACTTAACATTATAACTACGAATAATATATATTAAAATTATAAAAATTTAATAAAATTAAATAACTTTAAGATATAATTTATTTTAAACTATTAATTTTATTATATAATATTAATTTTAATTAAATATCAATAATTAATATATTAATAACCATAAATTTAAAAGATAAAATTTTTAAAAATAAATTAAAAGTTTAAAAATAAAAAAGTTAAAATAAATTTATAAATATAAAAGCAAATATTTTTAAAAGTATTACAAAATTATATAAAATAATAAAAAATTAAATAACAACTTTAATCCCTCCGAACAGAACTAATAAACATCGTCACTAACAAACCTTCGACCTTTGTCACCTTATTTCTGTCGCCGTTCCCTTGCTCTTGTCGGGCACGTGCCATTCATTTCTCCAAACCCTACACACGTGCCTGTCGCACTTCTCTCTCCCAAGGTGCCATAGTTTCCTTCTCTGAATGCACTAGTCTTTTCGTTTTCAATTCGATGCAATTTTTTTTGGTCACATATCCATTTTCATGCCTCAGAATCTCGGTGCTTTATATTCATTCCCGTGCGTGTACGTGCATGTTTATCTCTATCTCCAGAATGTTCCAATTGCTTTCTCATATTGTAGTCATGGTACAACGATAACTATTCGTGAAAGATGATGGAATGATATACCCTTATTAATGTGCGTCATTTTAATTTAATCATAATTTGTTGTCTATTAAAGTGGTAGGTCTATGGAAGCCCCAGGCGCTGGACCAAAAGCTCCGCCAAGGTTCTTTATTTGATCGTTGTTTCTTGTGATACTCATTGTTTGTTGACCATGGCAATGATGAGAGGGACTCGTTTGTATTCTTTTGGAACTTTCCTCCGCCAAAGCCTTGCGCAATTCCGAAACCTCACCTCAGAGATCAAACAGGAGGGTCATCCTACCATAAACCTAGATGCCAAAGTTTGCGACTTTACCCGTGAAATATGCAGGATTACTCGAACAAAGCCACGTTGGGAGGACACCCTTCTTTCCCTATTCCCATCTTTCAATTTTTCTGACCCTTCTTTCTTCCTCCTTTATCTTAACCACCAGAGCAATGCCTTCCTCTCCCTTCGTTTCTTTCACTGGCTATGTTCTCGTTGTGGTTTCTCACCCGACCAATCTTCTTGCAATGCGCTGTTCCGTGAGCTTGTGGATGCTCGGGCCTGCAAAGTAGCAAAATCCTTGCTTGATTGCCCGGGTTTTATTCCTGAGCCTGATTCTTTGGAATGCTACATTCAATGTCTCAGCAGTGCTGGGATGGTTGAAGATGCGCTTGACGTGTTGAAAAAGGTTGGGATTTGCCCATCAGTGGAAACTTGGAATGCGTCCCTGTTGGGTTGTTTGAAGGTTAGGAGGACTGATCTGGTTTGGACGTTGTATGAACAGATGATGGAATCTGGTGCTGTAGATAGCATTAGTGTTGAAACTGTTGGATATCTGATAATGGCATTCTGTGCAGAGAACAAAGTCTCCAAAGGGTATGAACTTCTTAGGGAGCTACTGGAAAAGGGCTTACATCCTGACAATATTGTTTTCAATAAACTTATAGCTGGATTTTGTAAGGAGAGACAGTATGCTAGAGTATCTGAGATCCTTCATGTTATGATTGCCAAAAATTGTAATCCAGATATCTTTACTTATCAAGAAGTCGTAAATGGACTCTTGAAGAGGAAAAATTCCGAGGGTTTCCGGGTTTTTAACGATCTCATGGAGAGAGGATATTTCCCAGACAGGGTTATGTACACAACAGTGATCAAAGGTCTATGTGACATGGGATGGCTTGGTGAGGCCAGGAAGCTGTGGTTTGAGATGAAAAAAAAAGGATTTTTGCCAAATGAATACACCTATAATGCAATGATACATGGGTATTGTAAGATTGGTGATCTTGTCAAAGCAAGGAAGCTCTTACAGGATATGTGTGGTAGGGGTTATGCAGAAACTGCTGTTAGCTGTAGCACAATGATTTCAGGTTTGTGTTTGCATGGAAGGACAGATGAAGCACTGAACTTTTTTGAGGAAATGCCTCAAAAGGGCATTGTTCGTGATGTGATTGTGTACAACTCTCTAATTAAAGGCCTTTGTGAGAAAGGGGAGCTAGTGAAGGCTACAACACTATTTGATGAACTTCTGGCACAGGGTTTAGAGCCATCAGTTTTCTCTTTTACTCCTCTTATAAAAAAATTTTGTGAAGTTGGAGATACACAGGGTGCAATAAGGTTGTGGAAAGATATGCATGATAGGCATTTGGAACCACCGGCTAGTACCCATGATTATATTATAACCGCTTTATGCAAAGAAGGAAATTCCACACAAGGAATGGAATGGCTGCAAAACATGCTGAGTTGGAAGCTTAAACCCCAGGAGCAGACTTTTGAGTACCTGATTAACAGTCTATCACAAGAAGATAGGTTGGATGATGTTTTGGTTGTTTTAGATTTAATGTTCAGAATAGGATATAGACTCAAAGAAAGCATAATCAGTTCTTTGGTGAGTAAATTTAGCAAGGATAGTTTTCATTTTCCTAACTTATGTTTGGAGAAGATCTTAGAAAGAAATTGATATAACCAATTGGTGTTTTTTGTATCTTCTATGTACTATCTATGACCAATAAAATGAAAATTTTTTTGAGTTCCTTTGGTAAATATGAGACTATAATTTTATGTCTGTTTCTTTTGAGGTTCATTATTGAAGTTTCCCATTGCATATCTTGAAGTTTCAACATGTCTGCTTCTGCATTTTCAGTTTATATTTCTGAATTTCTGGTAATTTTTTTTATTAAAAGGGTTATTTGCCCTGTATAAAATTGTGTGGGAATATTAATTTCAATGAAATATCTACTTCTGCACAAACAACACCAAAACCTGGCTTCGAAGTCTATAAACTGTGCCCTTCTTTTCATGGCAATTTCGCACTGTGAATTGTACCTTCAATTGTATCTTCTCATAGCAAATTGAACCAAGTATTCATACATGAATAAACATGACTCTGACTTGATTGTGACTAGATATCTGTAAAGTTTGATTTCAGAACAGCAGAGAATTGATGTTTTATTCCTGACAGAAGCGAGAATTCAAGAATTAGTGGCTTTTATTTACAGGCAAACAATGCATTTACTTGTATTGAATTCCTCACAGTTTCTGAGTTTAGAATAACTGAATTTGATGGAGAGTATGACTCAACTATTCTTCAACTTTCTTCTAACTTCCAAGGCTTAGTGGTTTAGGCCAGAACCACTTGTAATGTGTAGGTGATGTCAAATTTGTTATATTTCTATGGCATGTGTGGATTGCTGAAGGAATGTTTGCTTCAGAGATACTTTAGCATGGTATTGTAATGCGAGGCTCTTATCACTAGCATATTCCTTATGTTATTTCATATGTTGATTTTGCTTAGTCAACATTAACAGGAAGTCTGTGGCAATGTTGAGGTTTCAAATAGAGAGATAGTTCAAGCATGCAGAAAAGTCAGTGCTACAACAATTTAGTTTCTTTGCCCTGTACTGCTCTATAGATGGAATGTGATTGCTTTTCCCTTTTATCACTCTTTCCTTGCTTGTTGTATTCATCTTGCTTTGTGTTGGTTTTGTCATGTTTCTTTTGCAGCTGCTCGATGGAAGAAAGGGAACAAATGTCTTGCAGTTTCTTGAAGCAATTAATCAGTAATACTAATCTTGAATTAGTTCTATATATGTTGCAATAGTGCAATACTAATCTTGAATTGGAAAATTTATGGGCTACAACTTTGTTTTGGGGACCTGATATTACAGAAGGATTAAAAAAATTTAAATTTTGTACACTTATTTTTGTTGGTGTTCTTCTTTCCATTCGGAGGCTCTATACATGACTTCAAAACTTGATAGGAGATTTAGTGCCTTTGTTGAGCTGTGTGTAAGGATGTAGTAAGCATATGCATGTGTGAATATATCAAGAACGTAGACCTAATAATAGATGATAGGAGATGGATAAGCATACCAAAAATAGGTTTGAGTGGGTTTTTATTTTGCAGGTGGGCTTGTGGATCAATGGTTACAGAGGAACGGCCGCATGCAATGCTGATACCTGTGGAGTTCTTTTTCATGCGGTATGGGTTGTATAGGCCATGTCAATTCAGTGACAGTCCAAGGAGCCCACTTATTCCATCTTGCATCTCTCCAGAACTCCTTTCTCCTGAAAGCATGGGATTGAAGCTAAAGCCTATAAAGACTTGTGTTTCATTGGAAGTTTGATATCAGGGAACATAAAAAAACCTTTGACTTTTGAAATTGAAAGCAGTATTTTCTTTATTATCATTTTTTGCTTCAAATTTTTTTATTGTTTAAGGAGAAGAGGTTGGTTAGAGTTGGAGGAGGGGTTGTAGATATAGAAGAAAAGGGAATGCAGAGAATATATAAAAACTACAGGGAGGAGTTGCCGTGATTCATTTGTAGTCTGTCTTCAATAAAGGAATATCATTGGGCTGTATCTGTAAATTTCACTTGGATTATGTGATGTGATTGAAGAAGAGAGAGAGAGATAGAAAGGAAGAGGGGATGGAGAATGGATGTAACAAAAAGTGGGTGTGGAAATAAGAGTGTTGTTAATATTATTATAATGTAAGGTGTTATCTAATTGGTAGATAATGTAAAAATTACACTTGTATTAAAATTAAATTTATTACTGTTATTGTTGTTATTATTATTACAGTCCAAATTTAAAATTTTGGTTGTCTTTTTTATGAAAAAAAATTGCACGAAACTGGAAAAAGATTCAGTTCTTTTGAGTGTGCTAATGCTCTGGAAGTTGATACCAGTCTAATCTATAATGTTGAGCTTAAACAGATTATGGTTGAAAAACTGAAAAGGGGTGTCTCTAAACATTTTAATTTTTTAAAGACTTTTGCTGCCAATTGTTTTGGTTGGGAAAAGAGGAGATGCTGGAAATAAAAAAAGCATACGGTTAAGTTTTCGAAAATTGAAAAGAAGTGAACAAAATTCATTTGGTGATCATTCTTATTCTATGACCTTGTCAAATATGCATTTGAGTTGACAGCCTCGTCTCAGCAATTATGCCTTTGTAAGGTGCCAAAATTTGCTTTAGGCATTTGATTCTCTGTTTCAGAATCTTGAAATCCATTATTTTAATTTGCAACCAAACTGTTATAATGGTGTTTCAATTTAAAATAATTGTTCATGTGTTCTAATTTATGTGAACATTTTTGTCTCTTTCTTGTGTTTGTAGATATGAAGCTCTCAGCTCCAAAAATTCTGTAAATTCATGGATTTTCTTTTGGATTCACCAACTCCTGAAGCTGTGCATGGAAGTGCTTCAACAGTTGACTTGCTAAGGCATAAATTGCCGAAGTCAAAGTTTTGAGCTCTGTGTCTGCGACATATGCTCTCCTTGGGGCAGAAGGGCATGGTGTAAGATTTACTCTCTGCATGTCGGTTTCAACTTTAAAGTTTTTGGGATTGCAATTCCGTCTTCAGAACAATAGATCTTGACTTAAATATCTAGTTTTTATACTTGTCCAGGGACTTTGTGGAATTATTACTCTCTCCAACCATGAAGGTTCTGGATAAATGGTTTGAGGTTGTCATCTACTCAATTCTTGTAATTTGGCATTGTTGTTGAATCAATTTTTGCAGTTAATTTTTTCTCTGACTTGAATTAGTGACAGCAGAATATTTGTTGATAAAAGGGTGGCTAAGTGAGTAGTTACAAATAGAGGTTCGATAACTTGGTTCTAGCAGAGAGGGGTAGTCCCTCAGAAAGTTATGAACCCTGGTTTAATACCTAATGGGAGAGGCACCCACATTTAGTATTTGGGCATGTCTCAAATAGGGTTGCTTCCTTCAGAGGATACTTTTGACAAACCGAAAAACTAAAAAGGGCGATTTAGTGCATGAGGCTCACTCCTTGACATTTGCTTCTTACTAAGATAAAATTTTTTTTACAATCATTTCTTTGGGTGGCTTGGAACTTGGAAGTGTTGAGTACTGTTGAGTGTTGACCATATAAGGAAGAAACTGCCTAAGCTCAATTATGTTGCCCTTTTAAAGTATAATAGATTTATAAGTGAAATAAACAGCCAACAGCATTTGTAATTCAGACACAAGATTCCTTTAGATCTATATGACGCATTAAACAGCTCCATATGATTCTTCTAACATACATACATATATATATATATTGACTTGATCATCCAATTTTGTCGAGGCTTCAGGGGTTTTAGCTTGAAGCTATATTTGAAATTTGTTGAGAATATATTATAAATACTAGTATACTACTATTTATTGTCATTATCACTGTCATTATTTTCTATTATCTTTATGATTATTAAGAGATACTCTAAGATATCTAGGATATTTTCTCATAAATTTTAGGATTTGACTCCTATATATACATGTAAATTGTAATGTATTCGGACAAGATTCAATTTTAGAATTCACAAGTTGGTATAAAAGACTCCGATCTTGAGGTCTTTACTTCTGCTCACCAAACGTTAGCCACCTTCATCACAACACCAAAACCCTAGTCACCTTCATCACAACACTCAAACCCTAGCAGCGGTCTTCATTACAACATATGTCTGTACCTTCATTGTGCTTAGGCAGTCAAACCTTTGCTGCTGTCGCCATCAACGTCATCACTATTGCTGCTGCTGGACCACCAATCAACTCTGGTGACCACACCATTCGGAGCGCAAGGTCAAAACCAGCCAAACCCCAGTTGTTTGTCCCAAACAAAGCCACCACGCGCTGCCACTTGAAAGGTTACATTCAGACTTATAGAATTGACTATGAGGAGACATTTCCATTATTGGCAAACCTGAATACTGTAAAAACTACTCTTTCATTAGTAACATTTTGGTTGGAGCTTGCACTAGTTTGATGGAAAAAATGTCTTCTTGCATGGAGACTTAAAAGAGTAGGAACTGATTCTATAAAATGTAGGGACCAAAATCAATAAAATTTGTCCAAAGGAACTAAAATAAAAAAATTGCTAATAGGGACTTAAAAGCATATTTAAACTTTTATTTTATTGGGTGAAGTTTTGCTAAACTTGTTTTGAAAGAATCCAAACTTTTTTAAATTATAAACTATGTTCCTTTTACATGCATGCTTTCTCCATTATTTGTTCAGATCTTTAATAAAAATCCTACTATTTAGCAACCTTGAATTTTTTTTATTGTTTTGTAATTTGTTCTGATGCTTATTAGCATATGTTGCTAAAAACATCTTTTTAATTGCTAAAGACATCAATACTCTTGGAAGCGAATATGTTTTGTTACTAGAGATGGAAATAGGTCAGGCCGCTTGACAGGGGTCTGTGGTTTAACCTGGTTTAGGCCTGACTTGTCTGATCTTTTTAATAAACAAACTAAGTTTAAACTTTTTTTAAGACCTGCTTAAGTAAATAAGTCAGGCTTGAGCTATTTATAAAGTCTGTTAAGGCTGACCTGTATAAATATATATATATATATATAAAATTTAAAATAGTTGTCAAAATATATTTAAATAATAGTTATTTAATAATATATTTTTTATATTTTTAATTCTGTTATTATTAAATTAATATATTATGTTATAATTTTATTTATTTATAATTATAATAAACAGAAATTATATTCTATTAAAAATTAAAAATATTTA